TTGTTGTCGTCGTAGAACAGGACGGAGATGGGGCTGAGCTTCGTGGGGGCGCAGCACGCTTTGGGGACCTCGTCAGGCTTCAGGATGTGAACCTGCCAGAGTGAAATACAGTTAATGCTGTTATACTAAAGTATATTTTAGATATGTAACAGAGAAGGGACAAAAATAAAGTCTATTATAAGATTTAGGGATGTTGTAATCAGGTGTTTACAGGAGTTAGTCTGTTGGCAAGTTTTAAGGACTTTTATTTTACCACGATGTCCAACTGAGACCCAGATCTGTTCTGCAAGAGAAGCTGGTCAGTGTGGCAGCCATACAGACTCTCAATATTAAAACAGAACATGAAGTATAGCATGTAACACATGATCCATGAACACTCAGGGCTGTGCAGTTAACAGATTCATGAGTTTATCCATGATATGAAAACAAAATCATGATAAAATGATCAATGTGCTGCTGTTTCTTTGTTGTTAAAGCACGTCTATTTGCGTTGGCACCGCAGACGTCCAAATTCTTTTTTACTTCAAAATAAATTGTAGAAAACTAAACAGAAGAAAGTAGAAGAGAAACAACAATTCAACATAAACCAGTGACACTCTGGAGCCTGATCAACCCTGACAGTCTTCCTTGGATGAGGATGTGTTGTGATAATGGCCAAAACGCCCGACGAATCCAAGGTCCACTACTGACGATGTGTCTTAAAAATCTTAATACTTTAAATATTATACTCTAGATCAGATTTCTAATCCCTAAACCTAACCAAGGAAGTAAAAAGAAATAAATGGTAGAATAATTCGTGATAAAAGGCTGAAAGACCGTGTGAAGTTGACACAACTGATGAGGTGTCCCGCTGGCAAAGCTTCCGAGCTGCCTTTCTTCAGGGTAGCCATCCCTCAAGACTTTCTCCATTTGAAGCAATGAATTATCAGGGATTGTAACATCTGGTCCTTTTTCTGAATCAGTTCCTGTTTCTTTTGTTATTTCAATTAAATTAATAAAATAAAAGGAAATGCTCCTAACTGAAAAGATCCATTTCATACACCCACAGTTTGTCCAAACACTGAGTGATCGTATAAAAAACAATTTGGATGTAATTAATGACCAGAACATTTGTGATTAGGATTTTCTTTCCTGCAGCGCAACAATTACCCACAACTAAAGAAAAACAGCCACATGCCTCCTTCACCACATTTCTTACAGTGTGTAAATTCACAAACCATCGGCTACAAGTGCAGATCTTTCTGTAAAGTTTCTGCAATGTTTATTAAAATAAAAACACTTCAGATTTGTGAAATCCCACATAAAAAAGAATGACTTGAAAAAGTAGTTCAGCTCTGAAAGAATGCAGTAAGAGACTGCAGAGGCGCAATGATAATATATCATAGGCACAAAAGTAGAGGCCACAAGTTCACAAATCCACACCTGCGCAAACCCAGATGGATGCATCAGGGGTGTTCAGGAGTTTACCCAGTCGCACATTCGGATGCAGGAGCTGGGACTGAACCATCGATCGCCTCAGTGGGGTTAAGGTCTGGCTCTGATGGCCAGTATGTGTTTGAAATGTTCCTCAATGGCTGTATCCCAATTCAGGGTCTGCAGCCTTAAAGTACGCAGCCTCAACGATCCTCAAGGGCCGCGTACT